CTACACACCTTGCGATCGCAGCCCCGGCAGCACGCCCTTCTCTGTCGACATATGTCCCTTCTGACCGTGATTGGATGCAGATAACGCCACGCCGGACGAAGCAGCTCATCGTGTGGGAGCCACCCGTGAAGACGCCACGTCACGCTCCATGTCGACGACCGATGCCTCCCCATGTCCGCTGCTTCCACCTTGCATCTTGCGTCGGCCGTACATGTACTCTTCTCGACTCAATTCACGTCAATGTGTCTCACGAGCGGACGACCGAGCTCAAGTCAAGAAGGGACGTGCTGTACAGTGGGAGGTGGGGAAGCGAGTGCCGGCTGTGATCGTGTAGCGGCGGGAATCAAGGCCAAGGAGGGCCAGGTTCGTGTAAGATCGCTGTATTCTTGACGTTGTGAAGCATTTTTTCGGGTATTTTTCCAGCCAAACCGATTTATTAAGACTACATAAGGGATACAGTAGGGTGTACTTCAAATAGTCCTCGGCAACGTCCATACCGACTCCCCTCCCTGCTCCCTGCTCCCTGCTCCCTGCTCCCTGCTCCCTCCTCCCCGTCCCTCCTCCTCTTCTCGCTCACTCGCGCACGAACGAGGAGAGCAGAACCCCACCCTCAGTGCCCGCCCTCCTCGCTGTCGTCCCCGGGGATCTCGCCGAGCCTCTCGAGATCTACGAGGCACTCCCCGATGATCTTCACTGCCTCGACGAGGTCTGCCTCCTCGATGACGAGCGGCGGGGCGAAGCGGACCCTGCGAGGAGATATCAGTATAAGAACTCTACATACATGAACGAACGAAAGGGTGCGAAGACGACAACAGGCGCGCGTCTTCTGTCTTCTGTCGCCGTAGCACCCAACGAGACAGAAACACTCACACATTCCCATGCGTCGTCTTCGCCAACACGCCCCTTGCCTTCAGCAGCAGGCAAAACTGCCACGCCGTCCTCCGCTTGTTCCCCGCGACGTCCTGCCCCCGCGCAGCGCGCGCGGCGTTGCACGCGTCTTCGTCGATGACGACCGCGTTGAGGAGGCCGAGGCCGCGCACGGTTTTGATGTAGGGGGACTGTGGGCGGAGAGGAGAGTCAGCGAGCGATCCAGTGGGAGTTTAGGCAGGGGGACCAGGGGAGGGACGGGAAATGGTAAGTGGAGGATGGGAAGCGGGAAGGGAACGGATGCGCGGTGCGGGAGAGATGGAATAGATAGGGTTTTCGGAGTAGACGGACAGAGAAAGGGCAAGAGGGACGGGAATGGGGGAATGAGGGAAGAGCGGGAGAGCGGCGGTACAGCATGTAGGAGACGGAGCGTCTAGAACGGGCAAGAGCCAAAGAGACGAGACGCACCTTAAGCGCAAGCACCGACGAGCGGAAGACCTCGCCCAGGCGCGCCGCGCGCGCGGAGAGGTCCTCCTCCACCAGGACGTCCAGGGCCGTGATCGCGACGGCGCAGGCGAGGGGGTTCCTGTGGGCAGGCGGATGGGTTAGCGGGCGATTCAGGTCGAGGCGACGCGGGGAGAGCACAAATACATGGTCGGGTCGAACTCCGACTCCCAAAGGAGGGGCAAGGACGCGGGTAGCAGCCCGCAGCTCTCCACCACCACAAAAAAAAGCAAAACACAGAAACCCACTCACCCCCCATACGTACTCCCATGCTCCCCGGGCTGTATGCACAGCATCACGTCCTTGTCCGCCAGCACCGCCGACACGGGGTACACCCCGCCCGAGAGCGCCTTGCCGAGGAGCACGATGTCCGGGCGGATGCCGGCGTGGTCGATGGCGAGCATCCTGTGGGTTGGGTTAGTCGAGTTTTGGAAGCGGGGGGAGAAGAAGGGGGAGGAAGAGGAGGAAGGGCAGGGGATGGAGGGGTACGGTCGGGGAGGAACGTCAACAAGCCAAACGACGAGCGGCACGCGCGCCCTTCGCATCTCGAGCAACATGGTACGGTGCGTTCGAGAGCGTCGTACGGGTGGTCCATAAGAAACGAAGGCAAGCGAGAAAATGAGGAAACGAGCAACGAAACGCCAACGCACTTCCCAGTCCGCCCCAACCCCGTCTGTATCTCGTCGCAGATCAGCAGCACGTTGTGCTTCTTGCAGAGCGCGGCGACGGCGGGGAGGTAGGTCGGGGCGGGACGATTATTCTGTGGGCAGAAACAGAAAGTGGTTAGTATTAGTTGGGAGACCAGGGAAGAGGAAAAAGAAAAAGGAAGGAAGGAGGGAAGACAGCACCGCGCCTGCCTGCTGCCTCTCGTTCTTCTCAAGACCATCCCGAGGTAGCCCAACGCATTCAGACTCCCTTCGGCGATGCAGTAAAGAAACGAAGAAACGACTCACCCCGCCTCCCCCTGCACCGGCTCCACCAAAAACGCCGCCACCCGCGGCCCGTGCAGCTCCAGCGCGCGCTCGAGGTCGCTGATCTCGCCTGCGAAAATAATCAGCGCTCGTTCGCACACTCGAATGTGAGGGAAGCATTGGATGGGAAGGCAGGTGTATTTGCTCGTGCAGAAAAGACGGCCACTCACCAAACCTAATAAGCCTGCTCCCCCCCTCTGCCTCGGGGTCCACAAACGTCGGCCCCACGCCGGGGAGGTACGGCCCGAACCCGACGCGCGCGGAGGGGTCCGTGGACATGCTGGAGGCGTGTTAGTGTCAGCGCGTGCTGGAGGGGAGGGAGGAGAAAAGTATGGATGTGAAAGACAGATGGGAGGGAGCGGGGATAGGGTGAGAGGGAGGGTACCGCGACGGGAAGATGGAAGATGGAAGATGGACGGGGACAGGTAGGGCAGGGGGGTTGGAAGGCAGGGAAGCATGGATGAAGACAAGAAAACAAAACACACCTAATAACCCCCAACGTCCGCCCGTGGAAGTTGTCCGCGACGCTGAGCACGATGGCTTTGCCCTCGGGGACGCCTTTGCCTGCAATTTCAATTTCATCACATCAGCATCGATCGGAAGAGAAGACAAAACACGCACGCAAATACGCCCACTTCCTTGCGAGCTTGAGCGCGCTCTCGACCGCCTCGGCGCCCGTGTTCATCGGGAGGACCTGTGCGCGGCGTCGTCAGTATTGTCTTTCCACCATTGTGGCCTAAAAAACGCCACTCACCATCTCCCACCCAAACAGCCCCCCCACCCGCTCTGCGAACCGCCCAAAGACGCTATTGTGGAACGCGCGCGAGCTGAGGGTGAGCTTCTGTGCCTGCGCGACGAGGGCGGCGACGATGCGCGGGTGGCAGTGGCCTTGGTTTACGGCGCTGGGAGGGGGTTAGTATGTGAGGGGAAAGGAGAAGGAGGGGAGGGGAGGGGAGGGGAGAGGAGGGGAGGGGAGGAGGGTGAAGAGAAGGCGGGAGGTGGTGCCAAGATGAAAGCGCAGTCCCGCCCAATCTCCGCGAGCGCTCGCGGCCTCTCTCCGCCGGCGAAGTAGTAGATGGGAGCGCAAGGTCATCACGGTGTTATGATTGGCTCGAGCGGGCGTAGATAGATATATAAGAGAAAGCAGGAGACACGCACGAGTACGCCGAAAGCATATCAATGTACTCCCTCCCTTCGGGGTCCCATACCCTGCGTGGCGTTGTTAGTTCTCTTCTCGTACATCTGGGCGAAAACAACGCACTTTGCTCCGAGGGCACGGTCAAAAACCACGGGGAGGGGGTGGTAGCTAGTGGCGAAAAGCGCGCAATCAGTATAGGTGGTATAAAACAGAGCAGATGAAAGACGGAACGTTGTGATGAGGTGCGTTTTGCGCTCCCTACGCAGGACCAAGTCGACTGGCGAGAGCTACGCAGGACCAAGGAGGAAGGAAGCAAGAGGCGGGAAGCAGGCACGGCCAGGACTAAGTCGACTGGAAGGCAAGACGTTCGTTCGCCACCTAGTGGAGGGGCAGGGTACTCACTTGTGTGCGCCGTGCTCGTTCTCGAGGCGGATGAGCTCCGTCGAGCTGAGGTGCGCCTCCTTTCCGTTCTTGCCGTTCTTCGCGACGCCATTACCGTTCGCATGCGTCCCATTGGCGCTGCCGTTGACGCTGCCATTGACGTCGTTCTGGGCCTTTATCGCACCGTTCCCATTGGTGGCGGGTGCCGCAGTGGTGGTAGCCGATGGAGACATGTTGAGTTGTCTGTGTGTTTGTGTTCTGTGCGGTAAGGTTTCTTTCTTTCTTTGCGCTGATTCTGTAGATTTCTCGCTTGTGGTGGTACGGGTGCAAGATGTCGACGATCGTGACTCGCTCAAGCTCCGCCCGCCCGTCTTTCAAATTCTATTCTGCACCCTCCTGTCCGGCTCATCCGGCATCTCCATGTGGTGCTCAACTCCACTGCGTCGACGTCGGCGAGGACTATCATTGTCAAGACGCCGTGCTCTTCGGGCTATCACTCTACCTCGCGTCGGCCTCAGTTGGCTTCGAAATGAACTCCTCTGACTTAGCAGTGGCTCCCAATCAAGTTATTCTCGCACCCTCAATCCAGTCGGCGTGCGAACTCTCCCGCGCCAGCATCCTTGCTCACCGCTCACCGCTCAGGGGCAAAGATAAGAGCAGTTACAGCGGCCTCGTTCCTACTCCAGCCCTTCATTCGCTCATTCATCATTGGTTAATTCAAGCTATCAAACACCCTCGATTCACCACATGCTACTACGCCACACAAGACGCACCCTCGATCCTGACGCCTCTGCTCTGGCGCCAAAGATGCCCATCAACCACCTGGTCAGCCTCGAAGGCTCGAATCCTCTTTTCGATATGCAGCCGCAATGCTATAGTCAAGATCAACTCCAACCTCGCGCTTGGCCTGGCACGTCGTTAAATTCCGAATCCGCACTCGCTCCGACTCCGAGCCTTTCCCTTTCGCAGTCCGTTCGGATGACTGGACCGCTTGTATATATTTAATCGTGCTCTCAATACAATCCTTTCGACAGACACAAAATCTGTTCACCGCGTCTCCGTCGACGGGATTCGAACCATACAGGGTCGAGGACATACAGCCGCCCATAAGACAGAAAAAAACAAGCGAAGAAGATACACGACCTGGCCCCGGTTCGAACGGGGGTCTCCTGCACAATGTTGCTTGAGATCGCGTGGAAGTAAAGCAGGTGTGTTGCCGTACACCACCAGGTCCACATACCTACATATATACCTCGTTCAAACATGGATGCCATTTGTGTGCTCAGACAGACCCACCGAAATGAACTGAAATAAAAGCTGCTAAGGCCGATAAGCGGCAGGGCCTGCTACCGGTTGATCTCAACGGTGAAAATCAGGCGAAATGGGTTTCGGCCCGAAGCTCGCTCAGTCGGCGGCGCGCGGAAGCGCCGACCAGCTCGCAGTGGGCCGCAAGCAGTCCGAGGCCGAAATTGAGTACTAGTCCTTTCATAATCAGAAAGTGAATGGATAAACTTGTTGGAGTAACAACCGAAACACCAATGCACTGCCTATTTGTCATGTGGTCACAATGTGACATTACACATCAGTGGCTTCTTTCTGACTCCTTCTGACTCATCTTCTGACTTGACTCATACGGACTCATACTGACTCTCTCTGACTCAGACAGAGTCATATTATGTTTCCCCTTATATCTGTATGACTCCCTCGTTTTGTATTTAAGCCATAGCTTTTGAATTGAGACCTCTGCACGTTTGCAGAGGGTCACTGTGCATCGGGCCGATTTCCAACACAAACGCGCAAACACTCATACCCTCGATCTCACTGCCATTATCTGGACTTCATTGACGTACAAGTTCGGATTCTTATAAAGCCCTCCAACAACCGGAGGCAACCGAGACCCCTCATTGACGACGAGGGAGAAAGCCCTTGCGACAACAAGGCACCGACACCCCTCATTGACGACGAGGGAGAAAGCCCTTGCGACAACAAGGCACCGACACCCCTCATTGACGACGAGGGAGAAAGCCCTTGCGACAACAAGGCACCGACACCCTTCATTGACGACGAAGGAGAAAGCCCTCGTGACGCCGAGGCAACGGAACCCTTCATCAACAACGAAGGAGACCTCGCACGGATTTTATCCGTTATTTTTGATTCACTCGTTCATCACCACCATCACTCCTTGACTCGATTTCTGTGATGGCCAATGACCGCTACATTTTTGCGCGACTCGGAAGCATCAACTATGCCAACGACTGGAACGTTCGCATGGAGGCAGTGCTCATACAGAAGCAGCTGCGGGGCATGATTCAGATTTTGGTGGACCAAACCAAATCTGATGGGATGGCGAAGACCGAGACAGAGATAGAGACGAAACAGAGAGCCTTGGCCGCCACGCGAGACCTGGTGAAGTTGGCCGAAGCCCATGCCGAGCTTGTGCTATGCATTGAGCCTAGCCAGCTCATACATATGTACACCATGCTGCTGGTTTCGCCACCAGTCTCGCTCTTCATCGCCATTTCAAGTTGGATTGTCCTGAGCGCCTGCGCCAGGAAGAGTCGAAGAGGAAGAGCACTGATACCGCTGCTGTTGCAGAATACAACTCCGATGGATATAACGGAGTCTGGTAAACACCCTGTCAAGTTTCTGGGGGTGTGCCTTGGTCCTATCGCTTGTGGGGGTGTGTTGGAGTAACAACCGAAACACCAATGCACTGCCTATTTGTCATGTGGTCACAATGTGACATTACACATCAGTGGCTTCTTTCTGACTCCTTCTGACTCATCTTCTGACTTGACTCATACGGACTCATACTGACTCTCTCTGACTCAGACAGAGTCATATTATGTTTCCCCTTATATCCGTATGACTCCCTCGTTTTGTATTTAAGCCGTAGCTTTTGAATTGAGACCTCTGCACGTTTGCAGAGGGTCACTGTGCATCGGGCCGATTTCCAACAAAACTCAAGTTTGTCTCTCGGACAACACTCTCGCGTCGCGTCGACCGGCTCGTATTGGGCCTCAACCAACTTGAACGAGTCATAAATCACATTTTTCAGCACACTGTCAGTTCGTAAAATTTCTCAAAAAAAAAGGTGTATAACTTGACCACATCTTTCAATCGTCAAGCATTTTTGTGAGTTCTCCAAAGGTTGTGCACGCAAGGTTGCGACCTGAGTCGATGATGACAGTCTGAATGACCAACCGTGATTATGAGAGTCCTGATAACAATCAGCGGCACAATTTCGCACTGCGGGCAAGTCCCATCCAATTTTCGCCACCTCAGGGAGCACCGCCAAAGTTACGTAAAGGTCCCTTAAGGTGGGTTCTTTTGTAGTACGCCATGGCCGCGGGTTCACGGCCTACGTCCGACACTTGCCATGGCATTTGCCATGGCGTTGGTCATTGGGCGTCTATGAGAACAAAGGGACTTGATTGTTGCCGCCGGCTAATTGACGGCATGTTCTGCGGGATCTGCCGAGATCGCCCGAAAACTGAGAATACTCAATTCTGCTGTGAACTACAACAACTGTGATAAGAAGGATAGAGTTCATGATTTCCACGCATAATATTTGATATACATGCCCTGAATATTTTATTGATGCTTTGAGAAAGTGTCCAATTTTTGGGGGTCACAAAGGAGCGGAGTTTGAAAGACCCGATTCCTCCACATTGTCGACTTTGGGACATGAAATTTTTGTGCAGTATCCGCTCTATTTCTCCTGCCTCCTCTGCTGCTGTGCTGCGGTGCAGGGATAATGTACGCTGTACTGTGGCTACTATGAGTGGGGATATGAAAATCTTCATCTATTACAACAAATATGAGTGCGCAATGCAACAGGCCAGTACTAGCAGTTCTAGAGCCAAATAGCAGGTTTGCAACAGGTTTTAACGACTGCAAGATCTGCTATAGTCTAGTAAGCTTTCAATAATGAACACAATGTCACCGATTTGGGAACAAACACGGCAGTGCGGCAGTCTAACAATAGAACAAAGGGAATTAGCTCGGAGAAATGGCAAATGCCATGGTAAGTGTCGGAGCTATGCCATGCAAAGGCCATGAACCCACAGTCATGGCCCTTGCCCCTAGTGTCGGCAGCAGGACTTTTGGTGGAGAGAACCCATACCTATTGCATACCTAGGTGACAAGAATGACGACAAATGTGATGGCCCGCCAAAAGTCCATTGATTGGGCGCCCTAGAACCCATACCTAAATGTAGGGGAATAAAACATACAGAAATCCAACCTAAGCCTCGTTGAATACTAGTACTACTACTATTCCAACTCCCTGCTTACCTGCAAGAAAAAAGAAAACAAGTCAGAAGAAGTGGCATCATGACCTGGCCCCGGTTCGAACGGGGGTCTCCTGTGTACTTCGAGTCAGAAGAGATAAACAAAGCTAGAGCAGGTGTGCTGCCGTACACCACCAGGCCTGTATACCCTTGTTCAATCACAAATGTCACTGGACTCAATCTGTACAACTGTTGTCAATGCCGCTTTGACCAAGCTTTTGAGTAACCCGTGCAAAGCACATCATGGGCGGGGTGTGGTACCCGGCCGCTACTCTGCGCCTTTGAGCCGAGCCTTCCTGATGAGGCCGAGTCTAAATCCTGGGCTCATTTGAAAAGACTCGAACCCAGAAAATTCAAGGATCGAACAAACTCTGGAGTCTGGGGTTGAGGACATACATATTACATACAGCCGTCCATAAGACAGAAAAAAACTACAGCAGAGAACTCACACGACCTGGCCCCAATTTGAACGGAGGTCCCTTTGAAGAGACAGTAATGCAAACATAAGCCAGTGTGTTACCGTACACTACCAGGTCTGTACACCCTTGTTCAACCGTGAATGTCATTGGACTTGTCCTCACAACTATTACTGCTTTCCCCGAAATTTTTTGGTAACCCGTGCAAAGCACGTCATGGACGGGGCATGGTACCGATCTCACCACTACTATTTCTTGCCTCTGAGCCAAGCTCTCCTGGCAAGGCCGAGTCTGATTCTTGGGCTGGGTCAATCACATATTCTAATGTGTTGTATGTACATTCGTCCTCACCAATACATTTGTCATTCACCCTTTCTGCCTGTCCCTCCCGTTTCTCGTGAAATAAACCCCCCCTCCCGCATGTCCAGAAATCCAAAACCGACAAGCAACAACCGAATTCAAGCTCTTTCATATACCTCGCAAACTAACAAGATACATATCACAAACCAAATTGAAACAAGAAGCGGCAACCGGATATCATACGCAAGACCTGACCCCGATTCAAACGGGGGTCTCCTGCTTAAATGACACAATAGCTGAGTAAATATATAAAGCAGGTGTGCTGCCGTATGTACACCACCAGGTCTGTACCTGCCCAGTTCGCTGCACTGTGGATGTTATGTTTATGCTGTTTTGTTCAACCTCCACCCTAAAATACATTCATTCGTCTGCTTGTTCTCTGCCCAATCCAACCGCCCTTTCTATTCTGCTTGTCAGATAAACTACCTGCCTGTGTACCAGAAATTCGAACCGAGTCCCTTGATTCCTGAAGATTCTAACCTCTGGAGAAATTGGGGGGAAAAATGATTTACAAGTGAAGCAGATGTGTTTCTATACACCACTGGGTTTGTCTCCATATGTTCAGAACTATATAATAAAGGTGCACTGGAGCAACTGAATAAATGAACCAAAAGATTGGCAGGAGGAGCTATGACCTGGCCCCGGTGCAAATGGGGGTCTCCTGTTCAAATACAGTTGCGACAGAAGTTGGCAAGTGAAGCAGGTGTGTTTCCATACACCACCAGGTCTGTACCCTAATGTTCAACTGTGGATGCCATTGGATTCATTTTTGTGATCCGATGGAGTGGAGTTCCTCTTGCTGAACTGAACCTAACTAAATCATTTGAATCTGCACTGAGTCTCATCGAAGAAATTGAACCATCTCCAGGTACTCATAGCTGCCCACAAGATACAGAAAAAAGGCTTAGCTTCGAGCGAAACAATAGCATGACCTCAGTTTAATGGCGGAAGTTTTCCAATAGCAGCCTGCACAAATTGTTATAGTGTGTCTGTCTACGGGAGACTGGTGAAAACAAGCAGCTTTCTGCACCAGGGTTCCGAGTATGTCGGTCCAATAAAGAATTCTGTACACACCACTGCCGCGGCACCCCAAGCCCATTGACGAGTTTGTGGTGGGCCCAACCGGACACAGGATGTTCAAAAGTAAAGAAATTTTGTCCGGTGGTCAATGGATTGTGTTCAGCCCAGATTTGAGACGGCATGATGGCTTGTGGCAGAATTGTTTCTGGGAAGCAGTAATACACCGCTGATGAAGGCATAACATGGGTATGGTCATGTGTCAGCAACAGCCTCTGGGTCGGCTAAACATCAAGTAACCCGGTGAGAACTCCAACCAGGAGAAACCTGATAGACACTAATAGCTTGTGTATTCCCCGAGCAGTAAGACCAACCATACAGTGTCCTCCCTAGGAGACCATATATAATAGGTCAGGATGCGAGGCAGAACCTGGAATGAGCCAAAGAGGGTGTAATCTCCACTCAGGTATAAAACCCAGGATGTGGACACAACCCGTAATACGATGGATTGGAAGCGGGGCAGGGTGGAGACAATGCCTATGTCACGCCAAGGTAGAAGCCTGAGATTAGACAAGGTAGAATCTACTGTACATGGAGATTCTACCGAACTTATATAGGCTTTGAATAAATTAAAGGTGATTGTGGTCTGTCATGATCAGTTCCTGTACCTCAGCATTAAAGAGTGTTAATGCTGATACTCCTGTCCTCCTCTGTGTCTGTCTCCATAGCATCTGAGGACTAGGGGACCCAACATTTGGGTTTCCTAGTCCTTAACATTGTTATATCCAGTGGTTGAAACCGATCAGGTCAGTGGTTGAAACCCTGATCAGTTTTCAACCATTCATGCACTTTGTGTACACCTCTGTGTCAGCTGTGATGTGTTGGGGGACTAGGATCTGTCTGTACAGGTTTCCTAGTCCCTAACATCTTCTGTATCCTGTAGCGCAGACCCCAGTGGGTCTGTGGCTTTTAGAATCTGTGTGACGGTATACGAACTATAGAACACGGTGCAGTGCCACTACAAGACGCACTTATACTTAATGTACATACATATATTCGTTAGCCACGATAGGTGGATGATCCGCGATCATTACTTACCTAATATTATCTTACTTTGCAACAACTCTTATGTCGTGAAGCCCGAGATCCACCAAGGCGAACCACCTTCTGCGCTAGACCCCCTGCCTAGCTGAGCAACTGTACAACTGCTCCACGGCCCCCGCGTTACAGGGGTCTATCTCGGTCTACACGACCCGGGAGCTTCTCTCGCAGGAGCGCTCCATAGCGCTCACTGCTCGAATAGCAGCGCCAGTCTCAATGTCCGTGCGCGCTTCACCTCCAGCGTGGTAAAGCCTCAACGACCCGTATCACAATGGAGCCCATCGCGAGGGGCTTCACCACAGCTGGAGAAGCGGCGGCAGGCATGAGTGCTCAGCTCCTGGGGAGCAATGTTATGGCATTTCATCTCCCCCTCACTAAATCTAGACCGTCCCTGGTCGTCGCGCAGTGCCATTCACTTTGCGATATTTAGTGGTCCTTTGGATGATATCTCCGCCAGGACACTTTATAGTTTTTAGCCCATTCATTTGATACCAGTCAAGTTATGCCTTCCCTGGCCAGCTCTACTACATCCAAGTGTACTGCTAGAACTTTTGCCAAGGGTTTCCACATCAAGTCCCTATCTTATCTAGCAATTTACTTCCGTCTAGCGGACCCACAGATCGGCCATCAACTCTCAGAGGGTCTTTAGTGCGTCGAGGTGTTTTATATCTGCGACAGGAGTTTATCTTGTCGCTTAATAATACTCCTGACAACCCTTCTAGACACTCTTCTGCTTCAGCTTTCTCTCGTACTTGTCTGCTCGCAGGTTACCTACTCAGGTGCTTGCCAACTTTATTATTCTGTGGTGAAACACCGTGCCTGATGATCCATCACGCTTCTAAAGCTTAATTTACGGCATTTCCTTTTTCGGTGCGCCAGCTCTTTCTTGCTCGAACCAGTCCCTGCAGGGACTGGTCTTCTGGGCTGCAGTCTCCTTGAAACTGTTCTGGGAGGTCGCCGCGGTGCGTGCTGAGTGCGGCCGCCTGACTCGGGAACTAACACACATATATGGGTGACAAAATTCTTATTTTGCCTCCGTATTTTATGTCCACGACCCGTAGTCTCCGCGCCTCTACTATCGCCAGCTCATTCAAAGCCCAAATGTCCCGCAAATCCAAAGCAACTCCGTCGTCTTTGCCTGTTCGCCCGGTCGGTCATTCTGGCTGTCCTCTTCCCTGAGCTCTGAACTCTGTCGCTAAGAGTGGCAAGGGCGCCGCCACTGTGGCTCTATCCAAAGACACGTCCCCTGAGCCCAGCAAACCTGCCCTGGACCCCTCATATGGCGAGCGCCTCGCCCACAACCATCCAGATGCCCAATACTGGCTGCCGTTCGATAATACTGTGTCTCGCCACTTGATCCAGTATTTCGACAGCGATGCGCTCCCTTCTAACGACGCTATGGACTTCTTCGACGCTCTCCAACTCGCCCATCCGCACTTCATAAGTAGCCATCTTTCGCATCGGCCGTTTTAACCTTTTCGCCTAGGTTAATTACCGCTCATCTTTTTCTCAACCTCCTCTCAAGGTCGAGCGCTTCCTGTACACTGTGTACAAAGTCACGTCTGCTGTCAAGTCCAAGTTTCCGAAACCGTTTGTGGTCTCAAAAACCAATTCACGTCCAGACTTGAGCTTCTACCTCCGCCTCAAACCCCCTCCTGAGGTGATGCAGGTCCTGGTACGTTGTTTCTCTCATTTCCTGCCCCCTGTGGCTAATCCCTCTTTTATTTGCTAGAAAGTGTACACTAAGGGCGCGTGCATCGCCCTCAATGCTTCTTTTGGGATTCCCCAGGTCGACACGCCCACCCTCACGCCTCCGTACCATCCCAAGGATCCCCTGGATGATTCGGACAACACTCTTCCTACGTTCACCAAAGGCAAGGGCAAGGCTGCATCCTCTGCTCGCAAGGTAAGTCCACCCGACCACCTGCGCTTATTCTTTCTGACTTTTTCTTAATCCTTGCTTCAGCATGCTCGTAGTCCCTCCGACGAGGAGTCTGAACCCAAGAAGCACCAGTCCAGGCGCAAGGCCAAGCCCAGTGACTCGGACGCGGACTATGTTGTCAATGATGATGACAAGGACCACGACGAGCTCGCGAACGACGCCGAGGAGTCTGCAGAGCCAGAACAAGCACCCGAGGGACCCGAGGCACGCAAGGATGAGGAGGAAGAGGGCAAGGATGAGGAGGACGAGGAAGAGGAAGAGGAGGAGGTGATTAAGGCACCGCCCAAGAAGGCCGCGAAGGGCGTGGCCGGAGGCAAGGCCAAAGTCGTGCCAGCGACTGCCCTTGCTGCCCCTATCTCTCCGCCTTTCGCGGGACCCCGTACATTGCTAGTTAATCTCCTGCCGTCCCGCTAACCTTTTTCAATCTGCAGCCAGTGACCCCAAAAAGGTCAAGGCGATGCCGGTCGAGCAGATCGGGCACGACCTCGTCATCGAGGCCTCCAAGCTGCCTTTCCTCAACAAAGGCCCTCCTACGTGTACAAATTGCATCCCCCGCAGCCACGACTGCAAGCCCTGCATCACCAGTTGCACCAATCATTGCCAGCGCTGCAACAACGGGCATATGGTTTGCTCGCGGGGTCGCACCGCCCCGGAGTTGCTCACCAGCTTTGAGCGCCTCCGCCCCATTCTCACGGTATCACCTTCTGGTACTTTATCTTTTTTCTTTGCTAGCCAACTACTAACTTCATTTTCACTAGCGCTCAACACTGCACTGATCTCTCTTGTGGCGGCTCGCCGTGAGCTGGATCTGCAATGGATCCAGCTTACCCGTATGTCGGCGCAATACGATCAGCAACTCCAGGAGCTCGTTGACATCATCCTTCAGCAGAATGACGCCTTCAACGCTGAGTATGTGCGGCTGTTCTACGAAGACTCCAGCGACCGCGAAGTCCTCCAAGGTCTCCTCGAGCGCGCTCTCCGACACACCTCTCCTGAGGAACGTCACCGAGACCGGTACGCGCGACACCCCGTCACACCCGTGGTCCACAATCCCAAGCTGATGGTCAACGAGCCTTCCAACTCCTATACTCGTCTTGTGCGGTTCGACGACCCCACATCAGCGACATCGACGCGCTGCCCAACTTCGGCGCCGTCAAGCCTATCCTCCAGCAAACCCCTGGCCTGGTCCCTGTTGCGCCATCCCACCCCCTGGTGGTTCCGCTCAC